TAGCCCTGACTTATCCTGTAACAAACATTACAAATAGTTATAGTCCTGACTTATCCTGTAACAAACAGTACAAATAGTTATAGCCCTGACCTATCCTGTAACAAACAATACACATATTTATAGCCCTGACTTATCCTGTAACGAACAGTACAAATAGTTTTAGCCCTGACTTATCCTGTAACAAACAATACACATAGTTATAGCCCTGACTTATCCTGTGACAATAGTACAAACAGTTATAGCCCTGACTTACCCTGTAACAAACAATACACATAGTTATAGCCCTGACTTAACCTGTAACAAACAGTACATATAGTTATAGCCCTGACTTATCCTGTAACAAACATTACACATAGTTATAGCCCTGACTTATCCTGTGACAATAGTACAAATAGTTATAGCCCTGACTTATCCTGTAACAAACAATACAAATAGTTATAGCCCTGACTTATCCTGTAACAATAGTACTCACAGTTATAGCCCTGACTTATCTTGTAACAAACAATACACATAGTTATAGCCCTGACTTATCCTATAACAAACAATACAAACAGTTGTAGCCCTGACTTATCCTATAACAAACAGTACAAATAGTTATAGCCCTGACTTATCCTGTAACAAACAGTACACATAGTTATAGCCCTGACTTATCCTATAACAAACAATACAAATAGTTATAGCCCTGTCTTATCCTGCAAAAAACAATACAAATAGTTATAGCCCTGACTTATCCTGTAACAAACAATACACATAGTTATAGCCCTGACTTAACCTGTAACAAACAGTACATATAGTTATAGCCCTGACTTATCCTGTAACAAACAGTACAAATAGTTATAGCCCTGACTTATCCTATAACAAACAGTACAAATAGTTATAGCCCTGACTTACCCTATAACAAACAGTACAAATAGTTATAGCCCTGACTTACCTATAACAAACAGTACAAATAGTTATAGCCCTGACTTATCCTGTAACAAACAGTACAAATAGTTTTAGCCCTGACTTATCCTGTAACAAACAATACACATAGTTTTAGTCCTGACTTATCCTGTAACAAACAATACAAATAGTTATAGCCCTGACTTATCCTGTAACAAACAATACACATAGTTATAGCCCTGACTTATCCTGTAACAAACAATACAAATAGTTATAGCCCTGACTTATCCTGTAACAAACAATACAAATAGTTATAGCCCTGACTTATCCTGTAACAAACAGTACACATAGTTATAGCCCTGACTTATCCTATAACAAACAATACAAATAGTTATAGCCCTGACTTATCCTGTAACAAACAATACAAATAGTTATAGCCCTGACTTATCCTGTAACAAACAATACAAATAGTTATAGCCCTGACTTATCCTGTAACAAACAGTACACATAGTTATAGCCCTGACTTATCCTATAACAAACAATACAAATAGTTATAGCCCTGACTTATCCTGTAACAAACAATACAAATAGTTATAGCCCTGACTTATCCTGTAACAAACAGTACACATAGTTATAGCCCTGACTTATCCTATAACAAACAATACAAATAGTTATAGCCCTGACTTATCCTGTAACAAACAATACAAATAGTTATAGCCCTGACTTATCCTGTAACAAACAGTACAAATAGTTATAGCCCTGACTTATCCTGTAACAAACAGTACACATAGTTATAGCCCTGACTTATCCTATAACAAACAATACAAATAGTTATAGCCCTGACTTATCCTGTAACAAACAATACAAATAGTTATAGCCCTGACTTATCCTGTAACAAACAGTACACATAGTTATAGCCCTGACTTATCCTATAACAAACAATACAAATAGTTATAGCCCTGACTTATCCTGTAACAAACAATACAAATAGTTATAGCCCTGACTTATCCTGTAACAAACAGTACACATAGTTATAGCCCTGACTTATCCTATAACAAACAATACAAATAGTTATAGCCCTGACTTATCCTGTAACAAACAATACAAATAGTTATAGCCCTGACTTATCCTGTAACAAACAGTACACATAGTTATAGCCCTGACTTATCCTATAACAAACAATACAAATAGTTATAGCCCTGACTTATCCTGTAACAAACAATACAAATAGTTATAGCCCTGACTTATCCTGTAACAAACAGTACACATAGTTATAGCCCTGACTTATCCTATAACAAACAATACAAATAGTTATAGCCCTGACTTATCCTGTAACAAACAATACAAATAGTTATAGCCCTGACTTATCCTGTAACAAACAGTACACATAGTTATAGCCCTGACTTATCCTATAACAAACAATACAAATAGTTATAGCCCTGACTTATCCTGTAACAAACAATACAAATAGTTATAGCCCTGACTTATCCTGTAACAAACAGTACACATAGTTATAGCCCTGACTTATCCTATAACAAACAATACAAATAGTTATAGCCCTGACTTATCCTGTAACAAACAATACAAATAGTTATAGCCCTGACTTATCCTGTAACAAACAGTACACATAGTTATAGCCCTGACTTATCCTATAACAAACAATACAAATAGTTATAGCCCTGACTTATCCTGTAACAAACAATACAAATAGTTATAGCCCTGACTTATCCTGTAACAAACAGTACAAATAGTTATAGCCCTGACTTATCCTGTAACAAACAGTACACATAGTTATAGCCCTGACTTATCCTATAACAAACAATACAAATAGTTATAGCCCTGACTTATCCTGTAACAAACAATACAAATAGTTATAGCCCTGACTTATCCTGTAACAAACAGTACAAATAGTTATAGCCCTGACTTATCCTGTAACAAACAGTACAAATAGTTATAGCCCTGACTTATCCTGTAACAAACAGTACACATAGTTATAGCCCTGACTTATCCTATAACAAACAATACACATAGTTATAGCCATGACTTATCCTATAACAAACAATACAAATAGTTATAGCCCTGACTTATCCTGTGACAATAGTACAAATAGTTATAGCCCTGACTTATCCTGTGACAATAGTACAAATAGTTATAGCCCTGACTTATCCTGTAACAAATTAAACAGTACAAATAGTTATAGCCCTGACTAATCCTGTGATAACAGTACAAATAGTTACAGACTTGTGCACTCCAATAACAAAAAACAAATACATGTATACACCAATCCAATTCTCTAACAGACAGAAACAGGAGGCCCAACAGGCCTTAATGCTCACAAGAATAATGTCTCT